GTCAATAACCAATAGCGGGACCTGGATGCCCATATTGGTTCCTACATATTCTACGAAGATCTTTATCGGTCAGACCGCATAACAACATACGTTGTTCCCTTTGTCATCGGTATGTTACTTGCCCGAGATTCGATCGTCGGTATCCAACACCTAGTTCAATCTCATTACCGGCAAGTCTCTTTACTCGTTCCGTAATACATCATCCCGCAACTAACTCATTAGTTGCAATGCTTGCAAGGCTTAAGTGATGTGCATTACCGAGAGGGCCCAGAGATACCTCTCCGACAATCGGAGTGACAAATCCTATTCTCGAAATACGCCAACCCAACATCTACCATTGGAGACACCTGTAGTACTCCTTTATAATCATCCAGTTACGTTGTGACGTTTGGTAGCACCCAAAGTGTTCCTCCGGCAAACGGGAGTTGCATAATCTCATAGTTATAGGAACATGTATAAGTCATGAAGAAAGCAATAGCAACATACTAAACGATTGGGTGCTAAGCTAATGGAATGGGTCATGTCAATAAGATCATTCAACTAATGATGTGACCTCGTTAATCAAATAACAACTCTTTGCTCATGGTTAGGAAACATAACCATCTTTGATTAACGAGCTAGTCTAGTAGAGGCATACTAGTGACACTCTGTTTGTCTATTTATTCACACATGTATTATGTTTCCGGTTAATAAAATTCTTAGCATGAATAATAAACATTTATCATGATATAAGGAAATAAATAATAACTTTATTATTGCCTCTAGGGCATATTTCCTTCAGGAACAACCCCACGGCTACGAGAAGAAAGGCGAAGAAGGGAAAGTTTACAAGCTCAAGAAGGCACTTTACGGGCTGAAGCAAGCGCCAAGAGCTTGGAATGCAAAGTTAGACCGAAGTTTGATCTCGCTCGGGTTCAAGAGATGCCCCCTCGAGCACGCGGTCTATACAAAGAACTCCAAAGGATCAAAGCTTCTAGTTGGAGTTTATGTCGACGATCTGATTATCACCGGAGATAGCGCGCAAGAAATTGAACGTTTCAAGGCACAGAAGAAGAAGAAGTTTAGCATGAGCGATCTGGGATTACTCAGCTATTACTTGGGCATCGAAGTGAAGCAAAGCTCCGGGGAGATTTCCCTATGTCAATCGGCTTACACGGTCAAGTTATTGGACAAGTGTGGCATGACAGATTGCTACGAGACACAAGCTCCAATGGACCAATGCCAAAAGTTGAGCAAGCTCAAATCCGCCGGTGGACACCACAATGTATCGAAGCGTTGTGGGCAGCCTAAGATATTTGGTGCATACCCGACCTGACTTGGCCTATTTAGTCGGGATCGTGAGTCGTTCCATGGAGAATCCGACAACCGAACACATGAGCGCGGTCAAGCAAATCTTACGCTATGTGAAAGGCACTATTAATCTTGGCTGCACGTACAGAAAGGGAAATGAAGGATTGATCCTTCGTGGATACTCAGATAGTGACATGGCAGGTGATGTGGATGACCGGAAAAGCACAACGGGCATGATATTCTATCTTGGCCCAAATCCTATCAGCTGGAATTCTCAAAAGCAAAAGGTGGTTGCGCCGCCTTCATGCGAGGCAGAATACATAGCGGCAAGCATGGCGGCTTGTCAAACAGTGTGGCTGAGAAGACTCCTAGCTGATCTTGCAAAGCGGGAGGTGTAGAAGGTGTCTTTGAAGATCGACAACCAAGCTGCAATCTCACTGTGCAAAAATCCGGTACATCACGAGAGGAGCAAGCACATAGATACCCGGTTCCACCATATCCGGGAGTGCATTGAGGAAGGGATGATTGAAGTTCAGCACGTGAACACGAAGGACCAGCTTGCCGACATTCTCACGAAGTCCCTTGGTCGACAGAAGTTCATCGAGATGAGGAAGAAAATGGGAGTACAAGCGATGGAGACAAAGCAACCAGATTAAGGAGGTGAATGTAAGAGTTAATCTAGTTGTAGTATTAGGTATGGTCACGTAGTAGTCCAAAGAGTCCTAGTACTAGTCGGTTTAGTGTTCACGTAAGTAAATCGGACAAGTGCTTGTACGAGTCTGGGTCTCCGTCGTGTTGGTTGCCGACTCGGCGACGTGTTGGACGGGGTGGCTGTATCCCTTTATATACTGAGCAAATAAACGAAAAAGGTGCAAGTCGACCGCACCACAAAAAGAGTTTCTTCTATTCGTTCGCAAGTTTACGTATAGAGAATCGTCGGCTACACACATACGTACAAGCCAGCCTCGTGTACGCACGCACGGCCAGATCGATCAAGCTGCTTGCTTGATAGCTAGCTAGCTTTGCACGTATTTTGTGTAGTTTCTGGGCAATTTGGTCTAATGATCAAAAGCCAACAGTCACGGCACAGCCCAGCGCAGTAGGGTGGTGCCCGGCGTCACGTAGAAGGCCGGCGAAGTGGGGTCGCCTGGGGGTGCGAAAAGTGAAGAATGAGGGGGGCGGCCGTGCGGGAATGGCCGCGCCGCCATTGCCAATCGAGGGTTTCAGGGGTAGGCAGGGGAATAGCCGATTCAGGAGCGCATCGCCGCAGGTGGAGTCAGTGCTATGGTATAGTCAAGAGTCAATGTGAAAGAAAACAGAGCGCAACGAACGCAAAACGATATTCAGAGAAGAGAACCACCTCGCTGAAACACCAAATTTGTTTCAGTTATATGGACTATCTGCAATACTACGAATTGTTCGGTCCGTAACTAAATAAACCTGGAAAGCATGTGCATGTGAGGTGAGATAATTACAATTTGAGCTACTGCATCCCTCTTCCAATCTTATCCTATGTGGCTTTGCTCTTGCTGCACATGGCGCTGACCATTTGGTGAAACTGCTGTGCGTCGCAGGGGATCCTGAGGACGCCGGGCTGGCCGTAGCCGAACTGCTGCGCGGCCATCTCCAGCAGCGCCGCCATGCACGGCTCCTTGAGTGCATCGATCCGCACCACCACCCGCTCATCGCCGTCTCCCTTCTCGCCCACCAGCGCCAGCAGGAGGTACCCCTTGGGGATCTTCTTTCCTCGGTCGCCGGCATCAGCGGCGAGGTAGTATGCTTCGGCCGTCTCCTTCCTTCGCCAGGCCGCCATTGCTGCTGTTTTGTTCTGTTTTGTTTATGTGTTGTGTAGCTACCACGGGGAAAGATTGTGGTATCAATGATTGATGGTCAATTGTGTGGTGATGCCCTGATGATGATTGCTGAGGAGAGGGCAACGCGATGTGATTTTATAGTGCGAGAGATGAGGGAGGAAGATGATCCAAAATGACAAGAGCAGCGAGTGAGTTTGGAAAGGGGATCAGACGTTCAGAATTCAGATAGGAAACGTAGGCTCTGTGGCAAGGTGTGGTGATGGTGACCACGGGCGTGGACGATGGAGTTGGGGTCTCTCTGATCCCGGCAGAGACTCGGTTATTAGTCAAATCGTTCCCAAATGGTCACTGTCAAGAAAAACAATCGTACTAGGGTAATTAATTTGCAGTGTCCGTACGGTTTTGTTCTGTGTACAGACACATCTCTACCCACGGACGAGGAAGACGAAACAAATTTAACTAGGGCAAGCTCCTTTCCGCTGGCGGGAGACACGTTCGTTTTTATTGACTCGGCTCAGTAATATTTTTCTTTTTACATCCTCCTTTTTTTTCCTTCAAAATTTTACAAGGGGTCTCGCAGATATTGGACTGTTGGTAGTAGTACCATGCATGCTAATTGCTAACTGGTCATTTTCGCTAAGTGGGACACAATTAGGGGATGTTTGGTTCCAGGGACTATTTTATGTTGGGACTAGAAAAATCACTAGCAAACCAAACAGGGTGAGACTTTTTTGGGACTTTTTGCTAAAAGTCCTTAGAAACACATCCTTGAGAGTCTTTTTCAAAAAGTCATAGGGATTAGAAAAAGTCCTACGACTAGAGAACCAAACACCACCTTTTTAGATGTGAAAGAGAGAGTTGAGTATCATAACAACATACATTAAATGACGTACTAGTATGTGTCATGCATGACATAAATAAGGTCATAATGATACCAAGCTCGGATATTACTTTTGACTCTAGGGAGTATATGTTATTGCCCGTCAAAAATGTATTTTGTCATGATCAAGAAAAGTTGAAAATAATAATATATGTATTCATTGTCACTCCCAAATGTTACCTCCAAATTTTTAGGGGGAAAGTTTAAGCATGTTAACCTATGAAAAAAAAGTAAGTCAAACGACAAATGTTACCTTCAAATAGTACACTAAATTTTGCTTTTTTCACCGAGGAAGCACTACTACCACGTTCGCATGAGAATTGGCAAACACTCTTGTTACACTAACATGAACATCTGCACAATTTTTTTTATCTGTCTTTAAGTTATTGTTCACCAGGGTCCCTGGAGCCAAAACTCTGCGCCCTACCAAGCTATGATATTATGGACTGTGGAAGTAGTATCATACAATAAAATTGTATGCATGATATGAGTATATAACACTTCTCATTTTTATCTGAACTTGAGCTTAGTGCGCAGCATGGTGAAATGATTTGCGTAAGTTGATGATTTCCAATTGTATCCATTAGCAGGAATCATCTAATCAGGGGAAGTTAAAAACCAAGTTTACCGCGTGCACGTCTTTTAACGCGGCTGTTGGAGATGCTTTTAGAGTTCTGATCAGGTCCCTTTCTATCCACACTTGATGAACTCATTCTGAAGCGACGCAGTCAATGTAAACGAAAAAGAGAGAGAATTCAACGCAAGCAGAACAATATACAGAGCACCACCTTGCTGAAAGATCAAATCTGCTGTCCATCAGTTATGTGGACTATCTACAATACGAATTTGTTCGTTCTCTAACTAAATAAATCTATAAAACTGCTGTTGCATCCCTCTTCCAATCTATGGCTGCATTGTTTCTCTCGGCTTGTTGCTATAATCACTACTGCCTATCCTACGTGGCTTTGCTCTTTGCTGCACATGGCCGCGACTATTTGGTGGAACTGCTGTGCGTCGCAGGGGATCCTGAGGACGCCGGGCTGGCCGTACCCGAACTGCTGGGCGGCCATCTCCAGCAGCGCCGCCATGCACGGCTCCTTGAGCACGCCGATGCGCACCAGCACCCGCTCGTCGCCGTTCCCCTCCTCGCCCACCAGCGCCAGCGGGATGTACCCTTTGGGGACCTTCTTTCCTCTGTCGCCGGCATCGGCCGCGAGGTAGTATGCTTCGGCCGTCTCCTTCCTTCTCCAGGCGGCCATTGCTGCTGATGTTCTGCGTGTTGCGTAAATGCGTAGCTAGCGCGCGCGGGGAAAAGGTCGATCGTGTGATGATGTCCTGAAGACCGATGCAAAGGGCAGGAGAGCCATGCGATATGCTTTTATACTGTGAGATGAAGATTCAGTAGGTGGTTAATTTGTGAAGAATCAGCAGTGGTACAGTCGAGATAGGAAACGTAGGCTCTGTGGCAAGGTGTGCTGATGCTGACTGCAGGCGTGGACGATGGGGTTGGGGTCTCTCTCATGTGATCCCTGGAGAGAGATTACATTAGTCAAATCATTCCCAAATGGTCCCTGTCAAGAGAAACAATCGTACTAGGTTAATTTGCAGTACGTGTCGGCACGGTTTTGTTGTGTACACAGTGTCCGCACGACAAGCTCCTTTCCGCTGGCGGGAGACACGCGTTCGTTCTTATTGACTCTGCTCAGTACTACGGTTTTTCAAAT